GAAATGGCATCTATGTTCATCTTCAAAAAGATTATTACAAGATCTAACTTTGAAGTACAATGCTGTCTGTGACAGGATAATATTCATACGCTTATAAGGAAGACCAGTCAATATGAATGTTATTCAAATTTATGCACCAACAGTTAAAGCCAAAGAGGATTAAAAAGTACTGTGGGTTAAGGCACTGTACTGCATAGTCGGTTTGAACCACAAGGTTGGCGGTTCAAGCTCATCAGCTGCTCCTTGGAAACCCTATACAGGGTTGCTATAAGCTGGAACTGACTCAATGACACTTAATAACAACAACAACCAACTTCTTCAGTCTGAAATTGATCAAACATGCAATCAGGATGCTCTGATAATTATTGATGATTGCAATTTGAAAGCTAAGAACAAAGAGGAAGAATCACTAGTTGGAAAATACTGTCTTGATGATAAAAATGATGCTGGAGATCACATGATAGAATTTTGTAAGACCAGTAACTTCATAGCAAATACCTTTTTTCAACAGCATAAGCAACAACTATATAGGTGGACCTCACTAAATGGAATATATAGGAATCAAATTGACTACCTCTGTGGGAAGAGATGATGGAGAAGTTCAATATCATCAGCCAAAACAAGGCTAGGGCCCAACTGTGGAATAGACCATTAATTGCTCAAATGCAAGTTCAAGCTGAAGCTGAAGAAAAGAAGTCCACAAAAGCCAAAATACCACCTTCAGTATATCCCAACCGAATTTAGAGACTATCTCAAGAATAGTTTTGATGCATCAGACGCTAATGGCGGAAAACCAGAGGAGTTGTGGGATAGCATTAAGAACACCATACATGAAGACAGCAAAAGGTCATTAAACAGACAAGAAAAAAAGAAAAGACTAAAACAGATGTCAAAAGAAACTGAAACTTGCTCTGGAAGACTGACTATAAGCAGTGATGAAGTAAAAGAGCTAAACAGAAAATTTCAAAGGACAGCTTGAAGAGACAAAGTAAAATATTATAATGATATGTTCAAAGACCTGGAGTTAAAAACCAAAAGTAAAAACACACTCAGCATTCCTCAAGCTGAAAGAACTGAATAAAAAAGTCAAACCTCAGGTTGCAATATGAAGGATTCTATGGGCAAAATATTGAATGATGCAGGAAACGTCAAAAGAAGGTGGGAGGAATACACAGAGTCACTGTAACAAAAAAAATTGGTTAAAACAAAGTTCATCCGTTTCAAGAGGTAGCATATGATCAAGAACCAATAGCATGGAGGGAAAAAGTCCAAGTTGCACTGAAGGCATTGGCAAAAAAACAAGACTCCAGGATTGAGGGAATACCACTTAAAATGTTTCAACAAACTGACACAGCACTGAAGGCACTATACTAAGAAAATTGGAAGATAGCTACCTGAACAATCTTTTGGAAGAGATCCATATCTGTGCCTATTCTAAAGAAAGGAGACCTAATGCAGAAATCATCAAACAATATTAATATCACATGCCAGTATGCTTTTGCTGAAGATAATTCAAAGCCGGCTGCAGTAGTACATTGACAAGGAGCTGTCAGAAATTCAAGCCAGACCAGATTCAGCAGAGGAGGTGGAACAAGGGATATCATTGCTGACGTCAGGTGAATCTTGGCTAAAATCAGAGAATACCAGAAAGATGTTTACTTGTGCTTTATTGACTATGCAAAGGCATTCGACTGTGTGGATCATAACAAACTAAGGATAACATTGCAAAGAATGGGAATTCCAGAACACTTAATTGTGCCCATGAGGAACCTGTACATAGACCAAGAGGCAGTTGTTCAAACAGAACAAGGGGATACGGAATGGTTTAAAATTAGGATTGTATCCTTTCATCACACTTAATCAATCTGTATGCTGAATAAATAATTTGAGAAGTTGTAATTATATAAAGAAGAATATGGCATCAGGATTGGAGGAAGATTCATTAACAACTTGAGATATGCAGATGATACAACCTTGATTTCTGGAAGTGAAGAAGACTTGAAATACTGATGAAGATCAAAGACTACAGCCTTCAAAATGGACTGTACCTCAGTATGAAGAAAACAAGACTCCTCATCACTGGACCAGTAAATAATAAACAGAGAGAAGATTAAAGTTGTCAAAGACTTCATTTTGCTTGTATCCACTATCAATACTCATGGAAGCTGCAGTGAAGAAATTAAATGTTGTGCTGCATTAGGCAAATGTACTTCAAAAGACCTCCTTAAAGAGTTACAAAGCAAAGAGGTCATTTTGATGGCTAAGGGCCTGACCTAAGCCATGGTATTTTCAGTTGCCTCATATGCATATAAAAGCTGAACAATGAATAATGAAGACAGTAGAAAAATCGATACATTTGAATTATGGTGTTGGCAAATAATATTGAAATTACCAGGGACTGCCAGAAGACCAGCAAAATCTGTCTTGAAGAAGTACAGCCAGAATGATCTTTAGAAGCAAAAATGGTGAGACTTTGCCTCTCATAGCTTGGACATGTTAGGAGGGACCAGTCCCCGGAGAAAACATCATGCTTGGCAAAGTGTAGAGTCAGTGAAAAAAGGAAGACGCTGAACAAAATAGATTCACACAGTGCAGCAACAATGGGCTTAAGCATTACAATTGTGAGGATAGTGCAGGACTGGGCAGTGTTTCCTTCTGTTGTAAATAAGATCACTATGAGTTGGAACTGACTCCATGAAACCTAACAACAACAATATGGACAAAATATTGAATGACGCAGGAAGCATCAAAAGAAGGTGGCCACAGTACCAAAAAGAATTGGTCAATGTTCAACCATTTCAAGAAGTAGCATATGATCAAGAACCAGTGGTACTGAAGGAAGAAGTCCCAAGCTGTACTGAAGACCTTGGTGAAAAAAAGCCTCCAGGAACTGATGGAATACCAGTTGAAATGTTTCAATAAACTGATGCAGAACTGAAGGCACTCACTCATTTATACCAAGAAATTTGGAAGACAGTTACTTGACCAACCTATTGGAAGAGATCTGAATTTGTGCCCATTCTAAAGAAAGATGACCCACTGGAATCCAGAAATCATCAAATAATATCATTAATATCACATGCAAGTAAAGTTTTGCTGAAGGTAATTAAAAAACTGTTATAGCAATACATCAACAGGGAGCTGCCAGAAATTCAAGCCAGATTCATAAAAGGAGGTGGAACTAGGGCTATCACTGTTGACATCAGATGCATCTTGACTGAAAGCAGAGAATGCCAGAAAGATGTTTACTTGTGCTTTATTGACTATGCAAAGGCATTCGACTGTGTGGACCATAACAAACTATGGATAACATTGCAAAGAACGGGAATTCCAGAACACTTAATGGTGCTCATGAGGAACCTGTATATAGACCAAGAATAGTCATTCAGACAGAACAAGGGGATACTGAATGTTTTAAAATCAGGAAAGGTGTACGCCAGGCATGTATCCTTTTACCATATTTATTCAGGCTGTATGCTGAGCAAATAATTCGAGAAACTGTATTTTAAGAAGAAGAACATGACATCAGGATTGGATGAAGACTCATTAACAACGTGAGATATCCAAATGACACATCCTTGCTTGCTGGAAGTGAAGAGGACTTGAAATACTGATTAAGATCAAGACTACAGTCTTCAGTATGGATTATACCTCAATTTAAATAAAATGAAAATCCTCATCACGGGAACAATAAATAACATCATGATAAATGGAGAAAAGATTGGAATTGTCAAAGACTTCAATTTGCTTGGATCTACAATTAACACTCATGGAAGCAGCAGTAAAGAAATCAAATGATGTCTTGCATTAGGCAAATCTGTTGCATAACACTTCTTTAAAGTGTTAAAAAACAAAGATGTCACTTTTGAGGACTAAGGTGTGCCTGACCCAAGTCATGGTATTTTCAATCACTTTGCGTGTGAAAGTTGGACAATGCATAAGGAAGACAGTAGAAAAATCGATGCATTTGAATTACGGTGTTGGAAAAGAATATTGAAAATACCATGGGTTGCCAGAAGAACAAATACACCTGTCTTGGAGGAAGTACAACCAGAGTCCTCCTTAGAAATGAGGATGGCAAGACCTTGTCTCTTATAATTTTGGATATGTTGTCAGGAGGGACCAGTTCCTGTAGAAAGACTTCATGCCTGGCAAAGTGTAGAATCAGAGAAAAAGAGAAGACCCTTAATGAAATAGATTGAAACAGTGGCTACAACAATGGACTTAAACATGACAATTGTGAGGATGGGGCAGAACTAGGCAGTGTCTCACTCTGTTGTTCATAAGGTTGCTATAAGTCATAACTGACTCCATGGCAGTTAACAACAACAACTAACATTGTTAAAACACTTGTAGGTTGGTTGTCTGTCCTTGCAGTTCAACACTTACTGGTACAAAGTCTCCATTCAGTGGCACCTCTGAGAAACCTTCCCTGATTACTCAAGCCAAGGTAGCTCACAGTCCCTTTCTATCACATTTCCCTATTTTACTTATTTCATAACATTTGATCCCATCAGATATTCTTGTTTACTTATTTTTTAACTGTCTCCAGTGGAACATAAATTCTAAAAGAGTTGGGTGCTTGTCAACCTTGTTCACAGATGAACATCAGCAGGTGCTCAATAAATGTTGAGTAAATCAGTGATTTCTCAGGAGAAACAGGAAACAAGGCCAAGGAGGAGGCCAGGAGATATGGGAATTATGAAAGTTTGGGTTATATAATGTGAGCAATGGGGAGCCCTTCAGACTGAGAAATCTCTTAATGGTAAGGACATCCTTACCATTAAAGACACATGTCTTTCTTCTCAGACTGGGGGGGCGGGGGGGGGGGCGGGAGGAGGGGATCTTCCCTCTGGTTCTCCTCACAAAGCCCAGGACAAGGCTGAGGCCACCAGAGATGCCTAGGTACAGAAAAGACAAATTCAGACTTCTCGGGTATGCAGGACTAAGCTGTATTCCACAGATCTCTAGAGTACTCCTGGCCTTTGTCCTACACTCACCCACCAAACTGTACAGCATCATTATCTTCTGATCTTCATAGATGTTCATGGGGTTCACCAGGAGCTGAAAGAACCCTAGGGGCACAGGGTTAAGCCAAAGGCCAAAAGATGGGTCCCATACCTGGCATAGCCTTTCCCACCCCTGACTTTCTGCTTCCACACTCACCTATAGTAAGGAGCCCACCAATGCCTGCTCCCAGCAGGAAAGCAGTGACAGGAAACTCGCCTGGCCGGCGCCTCAGGAACCGGCTATAGGAGACTGGCAACACCCAGTTCAAGAACCTCTGCATCGCTGAGGGGTCAAAGGGTTTAACCCAGCAGGGCCAACAGCCTGCTCTCCTGGCTAGGACAGGACTTATTAGGATTAGGGCCTGTCTGGGGGTAGGGATGTGAGGAGTAGATGAGGGTGGCAGGAACTTGGAGGATTCTGAAGGAGATGAAGGACTTTGAGCAAGTGGAAAATGGATGAAGGAGAGATAAGGAAAAGGCTGGGCTTTGGGGTACTGGATGAGAGGGGTGAGGCTTAGGGGCTCTCAGGGTGGAAGGCAGTGTGAAGGAGCCCTGGAAGAGAGATTGGATAAGAGAAATAGGAACTGGGGTCACTGAGAAGGGGCTTGGCAACTTGTGTGACTGACTCAATGGTGTGGGGTAATTTCTTTCTTGGCCCCTTTGCTCCATTCTGATCAGGATTGATGGTCATACTTCTGCTCTGGGAAACTCTTCTCTTCCCAGAAGTCTCTTGAGGGATCTCCTTGGATGTGAGGTTCTGGTGAAAGAAAGGAGGGGCTGCTTTCTCCTATGTCTGAGGTGTATATCTTTTAATTCCTCTGCTCTGAAGGTTTATATAAGAAAGGAGATTAGAGACTCACCTCACCCTTCCTCAGTCCTTGGGACTAGGTAAGGGAATTCCAGAGACGCACAGTAAATAATGGTCCTGTGGAACCTCAGAATATGGTGAGAAATTCCAGGACCCTTTAAGAACCACAGAACCTAGTGGGCATCTCCTAGAGACAGGAAAACATTTGGTCTAGCAGCCATGCACAAAGTCATGAAGAAAGCTGTGTTCCCCTGGGAGGAACAGGAGCCTAGCATGGCACGGGCCGTGGTCCGCAGCATAGCAGGCTTTGCCCTGGGTTTGTCCTTGGCCACAGCCTATGGGCTGCTGGAACTGCTGGTGGAAGGACGCAGCCCCTGGGGCTGCCTTGTAGGCACCCTCACTTTGGCCACTTTCCTGAGCCTGGGCATGGGATTCTCTCGCCAGGTCCGAGTGACTGTCCTCCTGCTGTTGCCTCAGGCCTTCTCCAGTGAGCCTGGCACTTGGGGACTGGGGGCAGGTCCTCAGGCTGAGGCTAGGGCAGGAGAGGAGTCCTAGGGGAGACGACTTACTCTTGTATAATATGTTGTCATGTGCTGGGTTCTGGTTCTGATGATGATGTCTCCCTCAGGGCAGGGCAGGGTACTGCTATTGGTGGCTGCCTTTGGGTTGGTCCTGCAAGGGCCTTGTGCCAACACCCTTCGTAACTTCACCCGTGCCAGTGAGGCCGTGGCCTGTGGGGCCGAGCTGGCACTGAATCAGTCTGCTGAAGTGCTGGAACGGGCCAAGCAGCCGCTTGTCAGTAAGAATCCCGCCCCCTCTGTCCCAGTCCTGCATGTTCTACAGTCCTCTGCTTCGTCCTTCGTCCCTAACCACAAAACATCCTGGAAAGGGCCCTCTGTTTCCAGGCACACACACACACACACACACCCGCCGGCCCCCTTGGCCTCTTTCACTGCCAGATTAATATTCTCCCAGCACCCAGGCTCCCCACCTCTGGGATGACTGCCCCCTCTCCACTCCCTGGCCCAGGGGCAAAGGTGAGAAACCAGCCCCAAGTAGAGGAGACCCAATAGTGTCCTTGCTCCTTGCCCTTCAGGTGCCCTAAGCAAGATTAAAGCCATTGCCCAGAAGACCAAAGCAGTGGCTGACCGGATCCGCAAGTTCTTTCGGTCAATCATGGATGGAGTGAAGCATATAGGTCAGTACATTCACATATCTGGTTGGGGTTTTTTTTTCGGGGGTCTAGTCCTGGTGTGGCACTATGGGTTAATGCGCCAGACTGCAAAGCCGTTTGAACTGCAAGGTTGGCAGTTCAAGCTCACCAGCGGCTCCTTGGAAACCCTATTATACAGGGTTGCTTTGGGTCAGAACTGACTCGACAGCACCACTCAACAACTCAAGGTCTCTGGTCCCCCCGTGTGTTGACTAGTACCCCTGTGATGCAGCCCAGCTGGACCCCTGACTCTCTCTGGGATGGCCCTGGTGTTCCTCAGTCCCTTGAGAAGATGCTGCCCAACTCAGTCCTTGGTACCATCCCCAGCTAGGGCCCTGCGGAGTGTATGGTACTGGCTTCTGCACATTGGTGATGTGTGCAACTCAGAACTGGGCAACCCTTACTCGAAGTGCTCACGGATCTTCGAGGATGCCAAGGACGACTGTATGAAGGTCATTCCGCAGGCCTACCACCTATGCTATGTGCTCATGCCCTTCAAATTGGTGCTCTGTGGACTTGCCAGCGGTGCGGAAAACCAAATGCTCACCTCTAGCTCGAGGGGGAGGGGGAGGGTGGCCCAGGGGCCAGTGGTCCAATGGGAGTGGGACCATTAGGGAGGGGGAGTCTCTGGGTGGCAAGAAGGGTTAAGTGGTACACTACTAGCCAAAATGTTGGCAGTTGGAACTCATCCCTAGAAGTGCCTCAGAAGACAGTCCTGGCAATTTCAAGGCCACAGCCTTGAAAACCCTATGGAACAATTTTACTCTGCACATTCTATGAGTTGGAATCCACCTAATGGCAATTAACAACAAATAGGGAGGGACAAAAGGGAAGGATTAATGGGAGAGTCAAAACTAAAAGGGGCCATTTAGAAGAGGACCCCTGGAGGTGGGAGGGCTGGCTGACCCTCTGCCTCTCCTTCTGACACCCCATGGTCTTGGGCTTTCAGTGAGCCAAGTGTTCTGCATCATCCCCAATTACATCCAACCCTTTTTGCGCAAGACCATTGGCACACGTGAGTGACCCTCTTCCTCCTAGCCCTTGCTGGGTGTGGTGCTCCCTCCCTCACCCTGGTATGTCCATGGCCTGGCCGGAAGTGCTTCCTGTCCATGGAAGAGATGCAAGAGCCAGAAGCACCTCAAGAGTTATTTGGGCAGGCCATCATCCACTGTATACAGATTGAGAAAGTGAAGTCTAGTAAGGAGGGGAACCTCACCAGTGCTTTTGTTAGAGCAAGAGTTGGGACTAGAACCAGGAACTTCTGCCCCTAGGGCAGGTTACTGAGATCCTTCATTGACTCCCTTACCATATCTTTATAGAGCATCTAGTGTGCACCAGGCGTGGGGCCGGAGGCTGGGGATTCAGTGATGATAGCACAGATATGTAGAAGATCAGTCCACAGGGTCTAAATGCTGGAGGTTCCTGGCTGTTCTGTGAGCTGTGTGATACTGGGCTCTATCAGGCCTCTCTTCTGGTATGGCCCTGCCCCCTTCTAACTCTCTTTGTTCACATCCCCTCTGGACCTGCTGACCCTAGCGGTGATGAAACTGTTGAACCGAGTGCGTCAGGAATTTGAGTTCAATGTGACAGCCACCCACCACTTCTCTGTGAATCTCAATGCCTCTCGAAGCCTGTCCCAGATAGCTCTGGACCTCCAGGAGGCTGTCAGCCTGAAGCTGTACCGCATCCGAGAGGTCTTGGCACTGATGGGCTACACCACATCTCTGCTGCTCACATTTCTCTACCTTCAGTGAGAAGCTACAGGGTGGCTCTGGGCATGGAGAGCTTGGGCTGCTGGGGCCAGCTCATCCCCATGGCTTCCTGGGAGGGTGCGAGGGTGTGCCCTGTGCAGTTTGGCCAGGGGTGCTGAGAAGGGGCTTCATGTGTACTCTGCTCCATCAGAGCCCTGTTTTACCGGTACTGTTACCTGAACTGGGACAATTTCGACAACATCTACATTACCAGCAAATTCCTACACATGGAGGCTATCCGCTCCATGGCAGGACTGCCCACAGTGCTGCCGCTTAGTGCCCATGAGGCCAGTTACTATATCCAGCCAGGTGAGGGCCCAGGATGGGAGGAAGAGTGGCTCTGAGGAATGTTCCCACCCCCACAGCCCTAACTTCCTGTGTTCTTGTAGAGTCAGAGGGAAGAAAAGACAACCCAGGCGGCAGGGAAATGTCAGGCTGAGGAGGTGGACAGGGCTCTATCCTTGGGAGGCCCTCAGTCTAAAAGGAGAAAGCAGACATAGAGAGAAGCGGCAGATAATAGTTCTTATAGGGAAAGCTAGGTAAAACGTAGATAACGGAGACAGAGAGGTAGCCTTGGAAGGCTTGGGGTGGGAGGAGGGTGGAAAGTGTGGATGTGCTGATAGGGTGGGAGGACTCTTGTATGAGTAAGGAGCTAGCAAGGGGCTTCAGTGCTTCTGCACTTCCTGAGAGTGGGAGTGGACCCCAGGGCCCAGGGGGAGATGCTAAGCCTGCACCTCTAGCCATGGGTCCTTACAGCTTTTTTTGCTTTCCATTTTCCAAACGAGTAGACAGAAATCCAGATTCAACCAGGATCAGGAGCCCTGTCCATGACCCTAACCATCCCGCTTCTACCCAGGCTCCCTCTTCTTGTCCCAGTGGGAGCGGATTTTTTACATCCTGGCCATCTTCAGCTTAATGCGGCATCTTGTCCTCGTGCTGCTCCTGGTCTTCCTAGACTATACGGTCTTCTGGGTGCTTGACCTGGCCCGGCACCACTTGCAGGGGGAGATTGTGGCCCGCAGTGAGTGCCTCCCTTCCTTTTTCCCTCCCTCACTGCCCCGCTGAAGCCCCCTTGGCCTGGTCTTTAGAGCAGGAGTTGGGACTGGAATCAACCAAGGCTCCCGAGGGCAGGTCATTGAGATCATTCATTGATTTCCTGTCCTCCTCCTGCTCTCCCATCCCTTCTTCTCTTTCCCACCCTTTATCATGGGGACTACCTGAATGTCTTCATACTAACTGCTACTTTGCCCCTTTTTTAAACTAGTAACTAACAAGTAACACCTGTGTCCAGTTCAAGGTCATAAGGGTCATTGAAAATGTGCAAGTTCTTTAGCAGGTGCTTACTATTAAGCAAGTTGCTTAATGTCTCAGAGCCCCCATTTTCCCGTCTGAAAAATGGGATCATAATGGTAACAACCACAGGTTGCTGTAAGGATTAAACGAGATCCTGTATGTTGATTAAGATTGTGCCATGTACCAAAGATTAGAATTAATCAAATTCTCTGACCAGAGGTCCAACAAAGAAAAAAATGAGACAAAAGCAATAGAATACTTAGTCCAAGACCTGCTACACAGTGCTCAGTACATGCTTTACAATAAATGCTTCTGGATGCTCATAAAGGCAAGGGTATGGGCTCACTGACCATTAAGATCACCAGAGCCATACAGCTGGACCATGGGCCCAGTCTTAGGTGCTAGGTGCTGAGATTAGACCCTGGGCATCAAAGGCCCACACAGTCATCCCGCTGACCTTCACTGCTCCACATTCTTGTAGGTTGGAGTGAGCAACTACTGTGAGCATCCCTCATACAGTTTCTTTGTGCCAGGTCCTGTTTTGGTATCCATAACTGTGGAAGGGGAAGGCTATGCTGGGAAGATTTACCGTGATTTGGTGTCTGCATTTGATGTCCTACAACAAGGCAACATTAGTATCTTGTCCCGACAGTGCCTCCTGCGTCCCTCAGAGCCTAAATCTACTGGTTACATAGCCATTGGTATCAGCCTCACCCCCAAGGACACTGGTAGAATAGGCACCATGAAGGGCACTGGGTCCTGGGGAGGTGGATCTTGAGGGTGGCTAGCAACTTGTGCCCATCAGCAATGCTTGCTCTACCCACTCTGCTTCAGGCAGCATGTATGGTCTGTGCTTCTTCGTCACTCTATGTGGTGCCTATATCAGTCGGCTGAGGCGGGTCATCTGTGCCTCCTACTACCCATCTCGGGAGCAGGTAAGGGGTCTATGCAGGCAGCCAGTCCCTGTTACTTCCCCAGGGTATCAAACTAGCAATCTTCTGCCCTGATTTTGGGGAACTTCAAGTCCTCCAGCTGCTTCAGCCTTCTCTCCTCTGATTGAAAACGCAGGTGTCTGGACCCCAGAAGGGGCTGGGAGAAATGGTGGCCCTTGAGGCAGGGCTTCCTGAGACAGAGTTTGCCTCAAAAGTTTTGGTAAAAACCATGGGAGGTAGATGGTATTAGCATGTTTGTGAATGGGAAACTTGATATTTGTTTACTCATTTGCTAACCATTTATTGAGTATCTCCTGTCTGCCAGTCACCTTGCTGGGCTTCAAGGATGCCAAGATGAACCAGACATAGCCCGGGGCAGTCAAACAGGCTTTTAATAAGATGTTACAATTAAAAATTATTTTTATTAAAGAATGAATAAAAGGCTCTGGAAACACAGAGGAAGGGGTGGGTAACTCCACTTGAGGGAGTCCAGAAGCCTTCCCACAGGAAAGGGCATTTGAGCCAAGCCTAGAGAGATTCATAGGAATTGGACAGAAGGGAAAGGTAGGGAGTGGGGGCTCAGGGTCAGGAGGTAGAGATGGCATTCCAAACAGATTGAGCTAAATGAAGAAGGATCCAGTGAGATTCATTCCTGATTTCTCCTCTACCAGGAAAGGATCTCCTACTTGTACAACATACTTCTGAGCCGCCGAGCCAATTTGTTGTCTACTCTGCATCGAGCAGTGAGGCGGCGGGCAGCTGACCAGGAGGATCAAAAGACTGTCCTGAATATGCTGAGCAACTGGTTAGCCCACCATCCTTCCCACTGGGGTGCGGTGAGAGGGGCCAGAAAAAGAACTACAAGTTTAGAATGCACTACTGTCCTCCTTAAGTTTCAAAAGATTTGGTTTGGTGGAAGAAGGTACTCCTTCCATGCCATTCATGCTCTGAGAGGAAGACTTAGGGGTGGGAATTATTCAGGATGTGGAGTGAATGTAGGAGGACAGGGAGATAGAGAAGTTGTTGCTAAAGTTAGAGAAACTGAGAAAGCCTACCATGTGTTTGGAAGTTGGTTCTACAGAGTGGGAAGGGAGTTCCCAACTGTCTAGGCTGGCTGGATTGGTCAGTTTAGTGTTTGGGGGACCTCTCTCCTTAGGTGTCCCTTCCTGGTTCCATTCCTCAGTCTCTTTAAGACATACCAGGTGTACTGCTTGGGCTGTGGGCAACCCCAAGATGAGGGGGACATGAAGAACTTTGTGTCCTGCAGTACCCCAGGCTGCCGAGGTGAGACTCCTGGGACTTACCACATTTGCATATAACCATCAATGGCTGTCCTTCCTTTATGGTCTCAGTATCTCACCTTTTGTATCCTCCCTTCCTTGCTCTGCATGTTCTAATTGACACAGACCCCTCACCCCCACCCTACCCCACTCCACCGGGGTATCTCATTTCCCTCATCTTAACTTTAATTCTCCCCTTGAAACAGGATTCATATGCAAGTGATAATGCAGAGGTCCCTAGTGTGCACCCCTTGACAAGGATAGTCCCCCAGAGCTGGATAGAGGTGGCAGGGCTGGAAACTGGGGAGCACAGTGGATGAATGGATAAGCTCACATTTACCTAATTCCCTCCTGTCTACCTCTAGGACTCTTCTGCACCACCTGCTATCGCCTCCTGGGCAACACCTGCTCTGTGTGTGCATCCTCCCTCTCCTACCAGGGGGACCTGGACCTGGAGCTGTGAGTCTTGCAGTGACATGGGTAGCTGGAGCCTGGGGGGCAGTGGGGGTGGCCACCCCTTCCCAGAACCTCTCTGGTCCACTGAGATGGGAGATTTCTGCAGGGACTCCAGTGATGAGGAAGGTCCCTGGTTATGGTTGGCTGCAGCTCAAACAAAGGACCCTGAGAAAGACTGGTTACTGCGGCAACAGCTCCAAGAAGCACCAGGACAGACCGTCTCCTCAGAGGCCAGCTTGGAGGCCAGGTGTGTGGAGAGCAGAGGAGCTGGGAGGAGAGAGACTGGAGAGCATATGAGATAAGGAATGGAGCAGCAGCAGAGAGGACAAACCACCAGTTTGGAGTAGGGGTGTATTCTTGAAGGCTTCATTAAAAAGGTGACAAATGAGCTGGGTTTTAGGGGCTTGTTAGGGGCTAGTGCTTTGTTAGGCCAAGGAGTTGAGAAAAGCATTCCAAGAGGAGTCATGTGAGTTTGAAGAATGTGAGACATTCAAGAGAGTAGAGCCTAAGGGGGGTTGGGGGGAGAGAGCCAGAGAATATGTGTGTCTGGGTGGAGACCTCACAGAATGTTAGGAGATAAGGTTGGAAGTCAAGGTGGAGACAAGTGGGGAAGGGGCTTACTTGCCAGTTGAAGCTCTTAGGTTGAAACTGGTGTGTTCATATTTATCTTGCAGGATGATAAGCTAAGAAGGCAAAGGGGAAGCAGGGAGAGGCAAGAAGAGGCTACCCTAGTCCAGGAGAAGTTGGTGATGCCTCAGGATGGAGGCACTGAAAATGCCTCAATGAATTTCTATGCTTGGGACTAGGCAGGTGTTAAGGCAGGAGGAGGAAGAGGTCTGGGAAAAGAGAACTGGTTCCTTTGGAGACCTTTAGAGGTCTTTAGGGCATCTAGCTGGAGAGACCCAGGGGGCAGTTGGAAAGGGCAGGGCTCTGGACTAGGGAAATCTTTGGGGGGTTGTTGACTTAGAGATTGCAGCAGAGAGGATAAGATAGACCATCATTGTGGAAGGCGTGGCAGAGTAGAAGGAGACAGGGTCAGAAACAAGAAGAGCTTACTCCCAAACCAAGAAGAGAGAGTTAAGAAAGTGGGAAAGCAAACTTCACCACATGCTATGAGATGACCAAGTAGGATGAGGACTGAAGACAGGCCACTGAATTTGGCAGTTGAGAGACTGAGTAGTTCATGGCAACAATGTTCATGGCATGGAGAAGGCCAAGGGTGACAGAGAGGACTCAGCAACAAGGCAAGAGGCTCTTGTATCATTATTTAAGAAATTACAGTCACTGCTGTAATTGAAAAACAAAGTTTAATGGTAAAGTTTCTGAGAGTTAGCGTCATGCAGCACAAGTCGTTTCAAAAGAACAAAGCACCACACAATTTTTCTTTCTCAAAGAAGAAGAGATTTAAAGGAATCCCTGGGGGGGCCCAACCAGTTAAGTGCCAACAGATTGGTAGTTTAAACCCATCTAGAGATGCCTCAGAAGAAAAACCCTGGGAATGTGCTTCCAAAAGGCCAAAGCCTTGAAAACCCGATTCCATAGGATTCCACAAGAAGATTCGATGGCAACTAACAACCGGGGAATTGGAGAAATTAGAAAATAAAAAAGAAAGAGCATTTAAGAAAGAGGGATACAAGAGAGATGTGATTTACCCTTTGGTTGGTTAATGATGCATGGAGGGGATTGTAACCATGGCAATGAAACAATATACAATAGGATGAATGTAAACTAATGTTCTCCCATGTAAACTATTACATAATTCACAATAAAACATTTTAAAACAAAAAACACTAATGACCAAAAAAAAAGAGAGAGAGAGATGTGATTTAGGGCCAGGTAGACAAGGTATCTTGGCCTTGGTTAGTTCACCCAAGGTTGGGGTGGAGAGTATATGTTCCTCTAACCCAAGTTGAGTCTGCTCAGCCTACCTTTTCTGTGGGGATTAGGAGGCAAGGACACCTGCTTAGAGAGTGAGGGGGTGGCTACGAGTGGAATAAAGGTTTAAGGAGTGGGTGGTAGAGGTTGAAATACCTGTCATAGGGAGGGAATGTGCAAAGAAGCTGACTGGAGAGCTTAAAGGATTTCCAGGTAGTGTTAAAGGCCCAGATCATGTTGAAAACCATTCCACTGGCTCCAGTGGGCATGGCTGTGTAGTTTTCAATGGCAAGTGTGGTAGCTCTGAACAGGTCAGGAGGACGCAATGGGAAGAGAACTCGGGTGTTCTCAATAAGAGTGTGTGAGATCACTGGTCATGGGGGAGAGAAGGAGCTCTCCTGGGGTGGGAGTGGGGTGTCCAGAGTCGGTGTCCTGTTGAGGTGTCAGAACAGGGGTAGTGGCCAGGAGGGAGCACTAGCAAGAGAGGAGGCAGGACAAAGAGCAAGCCGTGCTGGAGGAATAGTCCTGAATGAATCAGTGAGTGATCAAGGCTGAGGGGGTTGCTTGAGAGTGAGCAGAGGTGAGTCATTAGGGTCAAGGAGGTCAAGGAATTGAAAGGCCAGAGTTGGACTGGATGGGTCGGGTCTTCCAGTGAGGAGGTGGCTAGACCATTCAAGCAGCCAGAATCAGGTACCACATTCTGATGGACAATGGCACGGTGTTTAGTGGCCTGGGGAGCCAGCCACAGTACCTGTGGAATAGCTGCCATGGCAGCTGAGGGCTTTCAAAAACACCATGGGCCACCCAGCTAGGTTTGAGAACAGACTGTGCCTCCATTTGGGATGGCTGCAAAGAAAACAGTCCAGTGGGCACATTCCACTGAGAAGACGACATTGGATGTAGTGAAGAGTCTAGAGGTTGGAGGGGAAGCAAAGCTTTATTTTTAGTGGTTCCGGAGTACTCAAACCAAAAAAACCCAAATCCACTGCCATCCAATTCTGACTCACAGCAACCTTGTAGTACAGAATGGAACTGCTCCTTAAGGTTTCTGAGACTGTAAGTCTTTATGGGAGCAAACAGCTTCATCTGTTTCCTGAGGAGTGGCAGGTGGGTTTGAGCTACACCTTGCAATTAACAACCCCATGCTTAACCCATTGTGCCACCAGGGCTCCTTTTCAGAGGGACCAGTGATGTTACAAGCTGGGTTGACAGAGGATGCAACTTGAGTCTTGAGCAGGTGTGATGACTGAGGTCACTACTGGTTTTGTCCTTACTGCCCACCTGCTCCTTCTGTCTCAGCTCAAAGGGATCGCTACAGCCATGGGCTGCTAGGCCTTGTGAGCCTGTCTGAGCAGGAATGGCTGGTACATAAGCTGAATCTGCATAGAAGGGGTAGGAGCAAGAGGAGGAATGTGTCTGTGACAACAAGTGTTGGTGAACAGGTCACCCTTTTTTCTCCTCACTAGTGACCTGGATGAAGACAAGAGCTCTCAAGCAGAGGAAGCAGAAGCAGCAACCCCTACCTGAAGCCCAATGGTGTAGTCTGCCAGCACTCCCATAATTCCTCAGATGTACTGACTTCAGAAATCCTCTGCCCCCAAACCACCTAGATTCAGAACCCCCAGTCCCTCCTCTCCTCTCACCTCCCTCCTCCTCCTGATCCCTCCCACCCATCCCCAAAATTAAAGAACCAAAGGTGGACACAAGTGTGAATCTTAAATTATTATTATTATTTCTTCCTGTCGCTTACACCCAAGGTGAGGGATAGGGGAAGGGAACAGAAGAGGGGAGATTACCTCCCCCCCTAAGGCACTGACTGGAAAAGCCGAGGGGAAGGGGAGGCCACATTGTCCTCACTCCCTGAGGCTATGCCCCAGGTCTCCCCAGGCCAGGGCAACCCGACCTCCCCCCCCCAATATATTACATCATCACTTTTTAAATTAAGATACAGGGACTGGTCCCACTACCCTCTCCCTGTGACCCCCCACTGTTGGGGGTACCTGGGCAGCTGTGCAAATGGGCATGGGGGTGCATGGGAAGGAGGGAGAGCACCGGGCCCCTGAACCTGCCCCTTTTAAGGAGGGGGAGGGGCCGCCAGGCCAGGGAGGGAAATAGTGCAAGGCAGAGCCCAGGCCGCAACGGGGGTCCAGCACCCAGCAAGGAAAGGGAGGAGATAGCCCCCACCCCCAGCAGAATTGGAGAGTTAAAAATCTGAAACTAGATTTCAACAAGACCAACAGAAAAGGCTATGTACATACAGAACGGGGGTGGATTCAATCCTAATGGAAGAGTGAGATTATTCTCTCCTACCCAACAGGAAGCCCGGGCTGGCAACGGTCTGGGAAAGGCACTCCTTTCCCATAGCTTCGCAGTCCTCTTTCCCAGAGGCCAAGCGAGAAGTTATTTGCCTACAGCTTTGACAAAAGGGCGCCCGCTCACCCGCTGGAGTGGTTTAGGTGACAGAAGCCTGCTGCTCCAAGTAGCCGCCGGGGGCGCTCGCCAGTGAAGGGCATGACCGCCAGATGGCGCCGGCTCGCCCGCTCTCCGTAAGGCTCCCCCCAACCTCTCACCCTGTCCCACACCCTGAGCCCCGCCAGCCCGGGGGCGGCGTGAGTCAGGGGCGGCAGCGGTGGCGGCGGCTCCGGCTCGCACCTGGGCGGGGAGGAGGTTGGTGGGGGGGGGAGAGAAGAGGGTAGGACGCAGTTCGGCCCGCCCTGCCCTCTGGCCCCGGGGAGGGAGCGGCGGGAACAAGACATTCCCTGCCCGGGGACGCGGGAGGGGAAGGGAGCAGAGCAGAGCGGCTCCCCTATCCGGGCGGGGCCCCTCCCGCTGCCCCCAGGGGCGGGCGAGCCAATCAGGCCACCCCGCCCCCTTCTTCTCCAGGACCCCATGACTCAGCGCTGGGAGCAGGGCGGAGGGGACTGGGATGGCTCCTTCCTTACAGGCCCAGTCCCCCCAGTCTTTCAAGCTCTACCTTGCTTTCCCATCTACCCTTCCTTCGCTGACCCCTTTTGCATAATTCACTGCCAGGAAACGGGAACAGAAACCAGGAAGGAGGGGTCTCGGAAGGGAGGGGCAGTCCTTTACCCCCTTACACAGCCAAAACCCCAAGGGGGCATGGGGTGGGGCAAGGCTTTGGTCCCAAGCCCCCCCACCCCTTAGAAACCCGCATAGCCGAAGAGGAACCCCACGAGTCAGAAATACATTATTGCTTCTACTCCCCAGGAGCAGCTGGGGACAGGAACCCCACCTTTACAATAGAGCTGTAAATATATACATATCATATATATCACTCCTTGGGGGAGCCTCAGCCCCAAAACCTTCTCAGCTTGGAACTGGACTGAGGGTTTGGAGGCATGGGGCTGATGCCTCTGGCCCCAGCTCTGTCTATCCTGCTTGCTTCCACTGCTTGGCATGGGTATCCCAGGCCTTGTGCTGCTCCATCCTGGCCATTTGTCCCTCTTTAAGAGGACTCCATGGCACCCTCAGCCTGGGGCGTGGTGGGTGTCCCCTCCTCCTCATCGTCTTCAGGGGGCCCTGGGGTGGAGACTGGGGGCGCAGTAGGGGCTGACTGCTCCCAAAATCGAGCCAAGGAAAGACGGAAGGTGTCCAGGTGACCATTGGAAAGGTCGAGACCAGCGGGGGATGGGGTGGCAGTGGAGGGTGGTGGGTAGTGGGGTGGTGCATCATCCTTGCGGCGCCGGCGGGTGCGCACCTCCAGGCAGTTCTGGCCCTTGAGGTGGCGCTGCAGGTGGTCCTCCTTGGCGAAAGCCTTGTGGCACAGGTGGCACTCATATGGCCGGTCCCCTGTGTGCAGGTGCATGTGGTTCTTGAGGTCGTAGCTGTGCAGGAAGCGGGCTGGGCAGTGCGGACAAGAGTAGGGGCGCTCTCCTGTGTGCTTCCGCATGTGGATCTTCAGCTTGTCATTCCTGGCACAGGCAAGGGTTTGGAGGTAAGGGGGTGTGTGTTCAGAATGGGTCCCCTGGCTTGTTCTGGCTTTGTCCCATTCTCCTCCCTTTCTATTTGCTTGCTGTTTGCCCCAGGATACCCTTGCTGACTTGCCCCCAGCTTAATGGCCCAGCCTTCACTGCACTCCAACTCCAGCCTAGACTTCTTAGGCACCAAATTATTCTCATTCCATACCCATCTCCCTTACTTTCTTCCTCCTCCTCTGCCTCCTGGTCTTCCTATTCTGATGTTTCTCCTCACTCCAGTACTTCCAGGACCACCTACTTCCAGACCCCAAGGATTATAACCTCTCACCACCCTCAACACGACCCTGGCTGAGTCTTTTCCCCACTGGGTGCTCACCGGGTGAAGCGGACGCCGCAGACCTCACAGGCAAAGGGCTTCTCACCCGTATGGGTCCTCATGTGGCGAGGCAATTTGCCAGCCCCGTGAATGATCTTGTGGCAGACGGGGCACTCCTGGGGCATCTGGGAGCGACGTTTGCGCACCAGTTTGTCCTGGCCGTCCAGGCCTGGTGTCAGGGTGTCCTGGTGCAAGGAGCTTAGGTAGGCCATCAGGTCAGGATCAATAGCATCCTCATCTGAGCCCAGCTCTTCTGGGGACAGTGGAGGCCCGCTGCCCTTTGTCAGCCCATAGGCTGGGGGATATACCAACTCTTCCTCTTCTTCCTCACCCTCATAACCCTCATAGCTCAGGGGCCCTTCAGGGGGTGAGGCAGTCCCTGCAGGAGGGCTGTAGCTATCCCCCAGCCCACTGCCACTACTGCCTACTCTGCCTGCCACCTCCTCTTCCTCGAAGGTCAAGGGATGGGTGGGCACTGCTGGCACCTCAGGCACCAGGTGGTTTGCCCGGGCTCCCTTGGTCTGCAGGAAAACTTTTCGGGGTTTGCGGCTGCGTCGGGCGACAGGCCGAGGTGGTGGTGGCGGTGGCGGGAGGGGTGCCTGTGGAGGACTGTCCTCACCGTTGGGCACTCCGGAGGCCGTGGCCGTGGCAAAAGCCTCTAAGTACTGACGGGCCCGCTCACAGTCGTCCTCATCAGGGCTGGGAGCTTCCAGCCCACTGCCCTGAAGAATCTCCATGCAAGCAGCGATGACGCATGGGATCTCCAGCAGCCGGGCAGCCTGGAGCACAGCCGGCATGTTGGCGCTGCTGGTGGTCAGTGTGGCCGTATAGGCAAACTCAAGCAGGGCACCCAGGGCCTCTGGCCCCACAAAGTCCAGTTCACACACACCAGTCCCCACTCCCCCGGGGGCCAGCCCGCTGCCCCCGGACCCCATGCCCACTCCGCCACCACCCTCAGTGAAGAGCTTCTTGAAGTAGTGACTGCAGGCAGCCAACACGGCCCGGTGGGTGCGGTACTCAAGACCCTGCGTCCGGATGGTGAGGTCGCATAGGTGGCCCAGCTGGCGCTGCTCATTGAGGCAGCTCAAGAGCTCACTGCTGTGATCTGGGAATGGAATCCCAATTAAGTCATCCTCAGGACTTCCCATCTTCTCCTGCAGGGACAAGCAGAGGAGGAGGGTAAGAACACACAGCTCTGCATGGGGCCTGGGGAAAGACTAATAAGGTCAGTAGACATTTATGGAGAGATGACTACGATGCCAACTCAGAGCAACCCTCTAGGACAGAGTAGAACTGCCTCCTAGGAATTTCTAGGCTGCAGTCTTTACTGGAGCAGATTGCTAGGTCTTTTCTCCCACGGAGCCACTGCTGACCTTTTGGTTAGCAGCCAAGAGCTTAGCCATCGAGCCACCAGAGTTCCTTTCTAAATGTTTCATACCCATCTAATCTTGTACTACCCTCTGCAGTTCTGTGAGTAATCCATTCCACTGAAAAGGAAATAGGTGAAATGAGTTTCCAAAGAAAGTGGCAGAACAGGGTTCAAACCCAAGCAGTTGCCTCTAGTCAGTGGTTCTATCATGCTTCCATAAATCTGTCTTCCTGGCCCTTTCCTAGAGACCCGTCTGCATCACCTGCCCCACCACCATCCCTCTGGAAGAATGTTGGACTGTGAGATAGGAAGATAGGTAGGTCTTGGTTCAGGCTTAATGAGGAATTGGGTGAAGGACTCTGGGTGGCTCTGGCAGCAGGCCTCAGTCATCTGAAAAGTTGGGTAACAGTCTAAGCAGTGGAACCTCACAGCCCACAAAAAAGCCAAGAGGAGAGTTCACATTCACATTGGACCAAGGTCTGCTCGAGGCCAGACACAAGTCAGCCTTTCTTTCACTCAAGCTGTCTCTCTGGAAAAGCCTTTGGCATACTCTAAAACACTTCGCTTCGAACAAGAGAAGGCCGCTTCCTAGCACCCTCCTCCTGTCTTTTCCCCAGCCACCAAAAGTTCATCTCTCTTTCTAGATCTCCCTTCTAGTAGAAACCAAACGGGAAACAAGGTTCCCAGCAGCCCCCCTTCACATCCTCCCCTCCCCCATGGGGCCAAGGAGCAGCCACCCTTTGCTGGGGTGCTGGCGCGGGTGCTTCCTGCCCCGCACAGATAAGCATCGCCCCAGCCCCCTCCCCCACTGCCAATAGGCCAAGTTCCACCCCTCCTCCTACCACCACCTCTCCCTCCCCATTCCTGGAAAGCCCCCCTCTCCAGCACGCAGAAGTCCATCATCCCACCCTCTTTGCCTTCCTCTCCAAGACCTTACCAGAAAAGGGACAGGGCAGCAGCAAACCCAAAATTGGGGTAGTGGGCAAGAAAACAGAGTCTAGCCTGAAAGTGGGGATATCTGCTTCAAATCCTGACTCTGCTACTATCTTGCTGAATGACCTTGGGCAAGTCACTTCTTGCTGCACTTCAGTTTCCTCAATTGTTCAAGAAGGGGGTGGGAGTGGAAGGCCCAAAGGCTCAGCCCTCCAGCCCTGACATTTGGTAGATTTGGAGCAACTGAAGACAGCGTTGGAGTGGAAAGAGCTGGGCTCTGAAATCAGCCAGGCCTGAATATAAAAACTCGCTTTGCCTTTGATTAGCTCTGTAATCTTAAAACAAGCGATTTAATCTTTGAGTATCTTTCCTCAAATAACACATGGAAGAATTTCACCTGATTCCTAGGATTGTGGTAAGGGTTAAATGAGACCACATATGGCACAAAACCTGACACATAGTCGATGCTTAAGGAAACATTATGATTTTCCTTCAACCCTATGACCCAGTAGGGGCCTGGGGTGGGGAGTGGGGGACAGATTCACTATACAGATAGCCTCTGCTGAGAAAGCTACTGGGGGACAGGTCTCCTTCCCTCAGTCTCTCCTCCCTCAAATCACCAAGGTAGCCAGGTAACTACCAGCTCAGTGACCTTGGATAAGTCACTTCCTTTCAGAGGAGGCCTGTTTCCTCAGCTGTAATATTAAAGGCAGGCCCAGTTAAGCAACTGATGGAGAAAGGCTTTTTTGGGGGGTGTGAGGGGTCAAGGGCTACACATTTGCTCATTAAGTACAGAGCTGCATTGTCTGTACCTTCCTGCCACTGCCAGGCCCTGTCTTTTGCATGGATGCCTGCATGAGCAGCACCCATGTGTCTGTTAGTGCTTGTAAGCCACACCTAAGTTCCCTTAGGTAGCCCACTCATTCCCACCCGGAGTCGCCGAACTGCTTCTCTCACCGGGGCCAAGCAGTCTGGGAGTTCCCCCAGATCCTCTGCCTGCACTGTGCATTTGGTCCAAGTGGTAAATGACCCAGGCCTTTCAAACAAACAAAAACTGGGTGGGTAGCAGCATCAATGGCTATTTGGGCAGTAGTGAGCACCCTTCTGAGCCTAAGCAGAAAGTGTCCCTCCTGAGTGACTAGCCTTCTAGTCCACTGGCAGAGTGCTGGGCACCCGCAGGCACGTGGCTCACCCTATCCTTCTCCCTCCTTTCCTTCTCACCCCACCCCACTTATGCCTGGGCTAAACCCGCCTCTTTTCTCCCACCCTAGGGCCAGTCTCTGTGGCAACTTGGTGTGGCGGGGGTGATGATTGGCTGACCCTGCTGTCAGGTCACAGGCTCAGGCTGGTTCAAGAAACTCACACAGGACTTGGGCGGCAAGGGTGGGTGTTTAACCCCTTAGGCCCAACTCCAATACCTCTGGCTAAGAGGTGGCTAGGAAGAAGGGGGAAGGGTGCAAAGCATAGGTGGTGGGAAGAGGCAGAAAGCACATGTGGGGAAGGGAGGGTGTTCACACAACTCTGCAGCTTCTGGGAAACACCCCCAGCCCTTACCTAGGGCCCTGGCACCCATGCCAACTTAGATGCCACCTGGAGCTGTGCTGGTGCCAACCAGGCCAAGGGGGCACTTCCAGCCCCATCATCCAGGAGGAGTGGGTGTGGTGAGGTCTCCCCTCCTTTCTGCTAGGGTGGGGCACTGGTGCCAGGGTGCCCACTCCACCTTGGGCACCCTTCCCACCTCTGCATCCCAGAGGGCCCAGCCCCCTGACGCCCCATGAGGGCGGCCTATCTCCACCCAGCCTGGCATGCCCCCTCTTGCTAAGACCTTGTGGGCATGGGCGTGTGTAGTGGTTGTGGGGGGGCAGCTGTACCAGGGAACCAGGTGAGGTCTGTTCGGTCTGTTTGCCTGGTAGGGGGAGAACTGGGGGCCCCGCCCCATCACTCCCCCCTTCCCTGCCACCCCCCCAGGCTCCCCTCACTGTCAGGCCTGCTAGACCGGCCAGGCCGGTGGGCAGCTCTCTTGAAACTGGGCCCTGAGTCAAGCCTGCCCCATCTTTGGTGGGGGTAAGATTTAGGGGTGAGACAAGTAGGGGGTACCCCTCAGTGCCCAATGGCACTTTCCAGGGTGTGCCCACCACCAGGAACCCAAAAGGCAGAAGGCACAGAGCCTGACTGGAAAGAGAAAGGTACTGGAACTGTTTCCAGGTGCTGACCTCAGGCAGAGGTCTGGTGCAGGGTTGGGGGGCATCCGGGCCAACACTGCTGGCTTGAGCCAGCTGAAGGGCAGGGAAAGGAGGCTCTGAATGGGGCAGCTGAGTAAAGCTGGCCCCCTCCCCCACCCTGGGATTAGGGGAGCCAGCGAGGCTTAGTGTGGGGGGCAGCAGGCGGAACCAGGATTAGTGGCAGAGAAAATAGATATGGGCTAGAGACACAGGCACACACCACCACAGTACCCCCTCCCCAGGCTAAAGTGAGTGCCCACACCTCTGGGCTCTGCTAGGGAGCTTGAGAGGGGGCCTGGTCAGGCTTCTCCCAAAGGAGCAGAAGGTGACATCCTCCAGCCTGGGGTGCTGGAGAGACCTGAGACTCTTCCCAAGGTTCCAGGATCCTTGCCAACCCCCCTCCTCCTTACTTCTTTCTCCTTTCTCTGTGCCCCCTCCCTCCGCCAGCCCCCACCCCAGCTCCAGCCTCAGGTTCTCTTCCTGTTTTTTTTTTTTGAGCTTAAGTTTGCACGAAGCCAGGGCTTTGGCCTGTGGCTGGACCAGGGGGGCAGGGGAATAGGAGACTCGTCCAAAGTCCTCAGGGACCCAGGAATCCTTGTTCCTTAGTGTCCTGCATACCTTCCCAGGTCCTTTGGAGCCCAGGGGCCAAAGCCATCTGGACCGCCTAGTTGGGGAGGCAGGGTGATGAGCTGAGCCACATCCCACTGGCGGGTTGGAGGGCTTTCGGACAAGAGGTCCTCTGCTCAGGGATGCCCTAGGCACTTATGGTCCCCTCCTCTCGGTACCCCAGCCCCCCAAGTTTATGCCTGCTTTCCCCATCCCCCATATGACGCTTCCCCCCCCTCCTAACCTCACCACCCCCAGCACTTACACTTCCTGGGGGGAGGTGGGGAAGAGAGACCGCAAGCCAGAAGGGGGAAGGAGGCAAGGGGAGTTGGCTGCTTCCCGGTGTTATGGGGGTTAAGTCTCTCCCCCGACCTCAAAATCCCTATGCTTGGCACTGGGGATCCTGAAATGAGGGAAAACTCAATGCTCCCCCATATCTTCTTTCCATGATACCAGCCCTAGCCCACAGCACCCCAGACTCCATCAAGGGAAAGATGAGAGAGGTAAAACATGGAGGAAAGAATGGGGACAGTTCCTTTCCCCCAGCCTTCTTCAGTTTTCTCCTCTCTACGTTTGAGGAGCCCCTCTTGCCCCTGAGTCTCAGCCATCCCTCCTTATACTCTTGACCCCTTTTCTGAGTCTTCTATGTCTGTCCCCTTACTACCTTCTCTGACTCTTGTCTTGCTGAACCCAAGACTTCTCTGCTGTCCTGCCTTTGGCCCTTGCCAGTCGTCTCCTCACCTTCGCTTTACCACATGTATATCCTTCAGGCCTCATCCTTGGGACCATCTCCCTGGACCTTCCTTTTCCCATTCCAGTTCTTGCTTTTCCTACTTCCTCCATTTCCACTCAGCCCCAAGCATCCCTTCTCTTTCCCCCAGGCATATGGAGGGAGTGGGGGCAGGTAAGAAAGAACAGAGGAATAAAATCACGAATCTGGGCCTGCTAAGGCATGGCCATGTTTAGGGCACCCATGCACACCTTTTGGATAAAACAAAAGGACCAAGTTTTGGGGGCCACTTGG